TAGCTGAATACGCGTTCTCCAGTAATGTCTATTATTCCACTCAAAAGGGTACATAAGAGGACGAAGAGAGTCACTGTTATGTCGTCAGTAGAGCTGGTTAGTACTTAATGGAGACGACTGGGAAGACTATAAGAACTGGATACAACTCCCTGCGTTATACATTCTGATTGATTGACTTCTCTGAATAACATGCTTTGAGCAAGACGTCTCCACCATTATCATCTTGTGAGTATAAACAACTGTTCACACAACCTTTTTATTTCTATAAGTAAAAGGGCCCAAGACAACCAAGATTAAAAAAAAAAAAAATCAAGTTTGATATTTTAAAGGGAAAGAAAAGGAAAAGCTATTGAGATCAACGCCAGCTGTGTCTACATTTTTTGGTTGCTTTTAAGCACAAGTGGGCTATCCCGAAAAATGCTGTTTTGAGAAAATTGAAGGTAAAGTTTTTGCCTCTAGTTCAGTTTCTTTAAAAGACAAGGGGAGTTTTCTCTAAAACCAAACAAATATACACACTAATAAAACCAAACTTATTCTATAGGTAAGGCAATGCCCACTTTTGGTGTAGGTCAAGATTTCTGGAAACTCCCGAAATCTGGGTTAGCCCGCTTGTCCTTAAAAGCGACCATTTATGTGTTGAGCTTTTGCAAAGTCGTACTGTTTACTTCAAAACATGAGATCGGCTTTTTAAAAAATATGCCTACCTTGTTCTTGCGAGCAGACATGACGAAGAGTGGGTGTCCGTTCCAGACAGATTTGAATGTTTATTTATTTATAATTCATATCGTTAGTTTTAGGGCCAGTACATACGTTGATACTAAATTATACTTTCTAGTGACTTGGAAAAAAATGTGAGGTATCGTGGTTAAATCTGGCGCTATTCAAAATATAGAATTCGAAGAGACATGCGTTTTTCCGCCGTTTGTCAGTTTTTGTTGATTTTCTTTGTTTGATTTTGTTTTTATAATTGTGTTTCTTGTTGTTGGTGGTGGTTTTGGGTGGGGTTTTTTTGTGTTTTGGGTTGTTTTTTTGGGGGTCGGCTCAACACCTTCTGTGGGTATTTAAAAACACATCTCTGTATGGATTGTACTGAAAAACGTTAATTAAATGTAAATTTCCAGTTTCCAATAAGAATCTCGCTATGGAAGTCACCGAATTTTGGCGGCTATTTTCTCACTAGTTTAAACTCTCATACCAGGTAACCACACCTCCTTCAATCGCAAATATCTTGACTTCTGTATAAGATAGATGCGTATTTATTTCCATCAAAAACAAGGCAAATGAACACACTTAAAAATGATACCAATTTCTCCATGCACAAAAATGGAAGAGAGTTGTGACACAAACAGTTTTTTTTAAATATTTTTTTTTAAAAATATGTTTAATCAGCCAGGACTAACAGGAGACAATCAAATGCATTTTGGACTTGCCACGTGCGTTTGGCATTATATTTGTTGACGGTGGTGTTGGTAGTCCCCATACTGCCACAATGGCTGAAGGCTACTGTAAATTGACTTTTAGAATTTTTATATAATTATACATAAGTTCATGCGGAAATTTCCATGACTTCCAACTGTCTTGACTTGTTTTGTTATGTTGGTTTTTTGTGTCTGTTG